CCGGGCGGGCTCCGTCCCGCGGGAGCTTCCCGCTCGCCGCGGGTAGATGCCAGCGGAGGTAGCGGGGTGGTTCGTCTGGGCTTAGCTTGCGTGCATAGCTGACGCTAACAGCGTTTTACGATGTTACGTTTTGTTCAGTCAGTCTTCCCTCTCCGGGTTTTTTGCACAGAGAGAAGCGTGTTGAGCCCAAAACAACTCCGGATATTCACAGCGGAGGTAGGAATAACGATGATGGTAGAAGTCAGAAAGGGCCGTAACAAGGCAGGGTGTGAGATGATCTCCTCCAGGCTCCCCTTTCCCAGGAAGGGTCGGACCAGATGGTCTTTGGAGGTCCCTTCCCACCAGGGCTGGGCCCTGAAACTGTTCACGCTCCTCCTTATTCTGAGCCAGCCCCGCTTCAGCCGGCTCCCTGCTTTCTCTCCCCACAGGTGGAGCTGCGGAGGTCTCTCTCTTCTTACCCTTGCTGGGGTGGCTGATAGCTTTTCATAGAATCACAGAATCATTATTATTAAGGTTGAAAAAGACCTCTAAGATCATCGAGTCCAACCATCAACCCAACACCACCATGCCCACTAAACCATGTCCCTAAGTGCTGCATCTACACATCTTTTAAATACCTCCAGGGATGGTGACTCAACCACTTCCCTGGGCAGCCTCTTCCAATGTTTAACCACTCTTTCAGTAAAGAAATTTTTCCTCATGTCCAATCTAAACCTCCCCTGGTGCAACTTGAGGCCATTTCCTCTCGTCCTGTCGCTTGTTACTTGGGAGAAGAGACCGACACCCACCTCGCTACAACCTCCTTTCAGGTAGTTGTAGAGAGCGATGAGGTCTCCCCTCAGCCTCCTTTTCTCCAGGCTGAACAACCCCAGTTCCCTCAGCCGCTCCTCATAGGACTTGTTCTCCAGACCCTTCACCAGCCTTGTTGCCCTTCTCTGGACACGCTCTAACACCTCAACGTCCTTCTTGTAGTGAGGGGCCCAAAACTGAGCACAGTATTGGAGGTGCGGCCTCACCAGTGCCAAGTTCAGGGGCACGATCGCTTCCCTAAAGTTCTTTTTGCAAGTTCGTGCTTCCAGAGGCCTTCCCACTTCTTCTTGGCAAGGTGTTTCCCGCACCTCCTCAGAAATTTCAGTTCAGCTGTTGGGTACACAATAAATACTGGGGTTATTTCTTGAACCCAGGAGGTTTACCTTGCTTCACTTTTGGATTTCCTTGTCAACTTGAAGATGGGAGTAGTTGATCAGGTTTTTAATTAACCTTGCTCTTGGGTTGGGTCTTTTTGAATGGCTCTTCATCTTACATCTTAACAGCACTTTGCTCATAAAGAACTATTTGCAATGTTGATTTTAATTTTTTTTTTTCTAGGGGGAGGTTTGCGTGTTTTACAGTGAAACCATACGTGTGGTGTTACAGGGGTGGGGGGACGGTAGCAATTTTGTGGTTTTCTCACCACGTATCTAGACTTACAGGACTCCACTTCCTAATATCTTTTTTTAAGATCAAGCGGATGTCCTATTAATTGTGATCCTAACAAGATAGTTCATGTTATATGGGAAAAATACCCACAATAAACTATTTTCCTAAAAAGAAATCAACAGTCTGATTAACTGCTGAGATCCTTCTGGTGTATAAGTTTGCTTATTTAATTTTGTTTTCATACACAGTATTTTCAGGTGGTAGTAGTATTGTCTACAAGTACACCTAGACAGCATGTCCTGAAACTTCATGCGGGTATTTTAGAAGATTTTGTCAAGTTACCTTTTGTTACTTAACTTCCTTCATCAGAATAGAGACCTACCTTAACCTCTGGCATCTTTTTAGCTACACACCTATTTGGGATTTCTCTTTAATCAGATAAAGGGCAGGACATTGTGGGTGATGGGTAATTAGCTTCTTCTAAAGTAGTCATTTGAAAGAACAGGTACTTCCTGATTTGAAAAATAGTTAGTGGAGGAGTGGTAAGTCACCCTCCCCCGAACAGATAACGCTTTTTCAGTATTTTCATACTCTTCTGATCTGTTACTTGTAGTTTAAAATGCATTAGAAAAGGAAGACCTAAGATCTGATTTGAGTCTCAAATGGTGACTATTCCTGAGAAGGATGAGAGTGCAGTTGCTGCACGTGTTGTGCTGTAAATGCTTGTCCCCTTCCTGTTCCTGTGAAAAGTGTAACCTGATAATTTGGGCAACTAGTGACTCAGTGACATCCTGTGGCATTGGTGTTTGAATTTTATTGTTTTTTTGGGTGGTTGCCACTTTGAAGTGAGTCAGTCGTCCAAAGTACAGCAGTTTGAAAAGTGGCTGTGGCTGAATGTTTCAGGAGTTTTTTCTTGGTTTTTTCCTTTCAGCCTGCAGTTTGTGGATTCCTGTGAAAGGTATTTAGAAAGTTTGTGGTCAGCAGGCTTGAGTTCATTGTACAAACTTTAAATCTCCACTGGAAAAACGTTTGTTTGACCTCTTTTGACTTGCAAACTTGAAAAAAAAAAACCCACCCCCAAACAGTGTTGCTCGAGAGGATGGTAAGAAGTCTGTGTGCCGTGTTTTGTGACAGTGTATTGGTACCGGTTTCTGACCCCTGTAGGCAGTCAGTGCACCCTTGAAGGCGTAAAGGTTGCTGCTGGCTGTAACTGGTTCTTGCCATGTGACTGTGAATCGTGGTACTTGGGGGGTAACATCCAGCTGTGGGTGAGAACCAACAATTGGATTTATCTTTCAAGGATGATCACTACTGTATGTTAACCATATATAAAGCTAAAAATTAAAGGTTTTGACTCACTTTTGTCACCTCTCCGTTTCCACCTACCCCCAAACCATCACCTTTTTTTGGAAGACTGAGTGCACAAATGTTTGCTCTCTGATTCACTTTTTTAAGAATTACTTTTTTAAATTTTTTTTTTTATTAATAAAGCCCAGTTTCTAGTACCTTTTAGTCTGATTTAGTCATGGCTGGGTATAACTAACTAACTGTTGTCAATGGAAGAGGTTTTGATCAGCTTGCTTGGTTAAGCTGGTATATTTTTATTCAAGCAGTCAGGCATAGGAATTTCATGGCAATATATGAAAAAACAGGTGATTTCTTCCAGAATCTCACTGAGAAATTGGGGAGGAATCTGCAAAAGGTGGGGATAGCACCATTGTCTATCAGCAGGGGTCCCTTGGTGGGAGGAGGTTTCCCCAGCCTTGGCAGAGTGGTCACCTGTCAGCGGGTATGGCTGGTGTGGGGTTGTGTGTCCTCTCAGCGCTGTCTGGTAACCCCGGAGTCCTCATCGGGTTTTTTCCTTCTTTTTGTCTCTGGTTATGGCACTCCCTTTCCAAAGGGGTTTTCCTAAGGCTCTGTCCTTACTTGGTGGCGCAGACCTCCGAGTGAGATGTGCCTTTGCTTTTCAGTGGTTGCTCCAGCTGCACATGGTCTTCACGCGCTGCTCTGGCTTATGCTGGCTTTGTGCCATGCGGTGGCTGGGTGGTGGCGGAGGTGGTCGGTAGGCAGGCGGGGATAAGGGACCCCTTTTGCTTTCCCCTGGCTGTGCGCTGGTTTTACTGAATTCTTCATCTGTTCTGCTTGTTCCTGCTCAGCAGGTCTCATGCAAATACAGAGCTGGACCTTGTCAGCAGAGAGCCTTGGCTTTCCTCTGGGAGTCTGAAACGCACAAATTGTTTTGCTCTGTCTTTGCCTCTAATGTCTTAGTCTTGAGACTTAGTCGGCGTGGATGTTAGTTATCTGTAGTGGAAGATTGCTGTATACCAGCTGTCCTACTTCAGCTGAGTACAATAAAAGAAGGAATTGCTCAGACTGATAGTATGTTAATATGGGAAATAAAAGTATGCTATATGTTAATTTGCTTGAATATCTCAAGATTCTAAAACATCTCCCTCTCGATGAAGCACTGCTAGGTTGGCAGAGCAGAAGGATGAAATCTGCTGTTCAGGAGGCAGGAATTTTATGCTCTAGCAGATGTAGAGCATGATGCACGTGATACAGCATCTCATTTTCACATCTGTAGTAAACATTCATGGAAGATGGATTCCTTCATGTTCAGTAAAATCACTTTCTTACCCATAAATTCAGAAATGTATTTTATTTTCAACTCAAACATCTGGTTTGGCACAGTTATTTCCTGGAAAACAGCATGTATGAATACATTTCCATGTAAATGTACTTACTGAGCTGATTTGCTTATCTCTCCTCCAAAATGCATGCATGTGTGTATCCATGATAGAAAGTTAAACAGTTAATATTTTTAAACTGATGAGAGAGGGAATATCAATATTGCAACTGAGGTAATGTTTTGGGTCTGCACTATTCGAATGGAAGATCCTTCTGTGTGTTTCATCTCTTTCCTCTTCCTTTTGCCTTTCCTTCTGTAGTGT